CACATTAGTTCCTGTAATCCCCCACCAGGGCAGGCAGCTGCCCAGATTATTGTACCCAACAGTTCTGTCATAGAAAGAAACATAACTGAAACTTCTGTCATGAAACATGACAGGAATACCGCATATAACTCAAATTATTGGTTATACAATCTCGATAGCTATTTAGTAGTCTATTGTTCACAATCTTAAACAACAATGCTATACAAAATTACAGGATTGCTCATTATGCCAGGTGGTTTCATGATAGATTGGTGATGCTCAACCTGTGTTTATGCACCAAAAATCATGCTACGTCACTTGCGAATGGTTATATAATGCATTTAACCATTACTGCACTATACATTGACTGGTACACAAGATTATGTGGTAACATAGGTAGAGAGATTAAAGGATACTAGAAGTAGAAATCTGGATCATAGAAATATTATCAGAATGGTATTGAAGATTCCCAAGTAAACTCGTGGCAGTGGATGCTCAAGGATTAATTTCAGCCTCTTCCTGTTTTAATACCCACCTCCACGAGCATTGTATATAGCATATATATATATATAATATATATATATATATATATATATATATATATATATATATATATATATATATTATATATATATATAATAAAATATATATATATATATATATATATATATATATATATATTATATATATATATATACATATATATATATATAATATATATATATATATATAATATATATATAATATATATATATATATATATATATATATATATATATATATATATATATATTATATATATATATATATATATATATATATATATATATATATATATAGGTAGTAGGTTGGTAGACAGCAACCACCCAGGGAAGTACTACCGTCCTGCCAGATGTCTGTGAAACAGAAACCTGTAACTGTTTTGCATGATGGTAGGATTGCTGGTTTCTTTTTCTGTCTCATAAACACGCGAGATAACAGGGATATCTTGCTACTCCTACTTACACTTTGGTCACACTTCACAGACACGCACATACATATATATATACATACATCTAGGTTTTTCTCCTTTTTCTAAATAGCTCTTGTTCTTCTTTATTTCTTCTATTGTCCATGGGGAAGTGGAAAAGAATCTTTCCTCCGTAAGCCATGCATGTCGTATGAGGCGACTAAAATGCCGGGAGCAATGGGCTAGTAACCCCTTCTCTTGTAGACACTTACTAAAAAAGAGAAGAAGAAAAACTTTATAAAACTGGGATGCTTAAATGTGCGTGGATGTAGTGCGGATGACAAGAATCAGATGATTGCTGATGTTATGAATGAAAAGAAGTTGGATGTCCTGGCCCTAAGCGAAACAAAGCCGAAGGGGGTAGGAGAGTTTCAGTGGGGGGAAATAAATGGGATTAAATCTGGAGTATCTGAGAGAGTTAGAGCAAAGGAAGGGGTAGCAGTAATGTTAAATGATCAGTTATGGAAGGAGAAAAGAGAATATGAATGTGTAAATTCAAGAATTATGTGGATTAAAGTAAAGGTTGGATGCGAGAAGTGGGTCATAATAAGCGTGTATGCACCTGGAGAAGAGAGGAATGCAGAGGAGAGAGAGAGATTTTGGGAGATGTTAAGTGTATGTATAGGAGCCTTTGAACCAAGTGAGAGAGTAATTGTGGTAGGGGACCTGAATGCTAAAGTAGGAGAAACTTTTAGAGAGGGTGTGGTAGGTAAGTTTGGGGTGCCAGTGTAAATGATAATGGGAGCCCTTTGATTGAACTTTGTATAGAAAGGGGTTTAGTTATAGGTAATACATATTTAAGAAAAAGAGGATAAATAAGTATACAAGATATGATGTAGGGCGAAATGACAGTAGTTTGTTGGATTATGTATTGGTAGATAAAAGACTGTTGAGTAGACTTCAGGATGTAAAATGTTTATAGAGGGGCCACAGATATATCAGATCACTTTCTAGTTGTAGCTACACTGAGAGTAAAAGGTAGATGGGATACAAGGAGAATAGAAGCATCAGGGAAGAGAGAGGTGAAGGTTTATAAACTAAAAGAGGAGGCAGTTAGGGTAAGATATAAACAGCTATTGGAGGATAGATGGGCTAATGAGAGCATAGGCAATGGGGTCGAAGAGGTATGGGGTAGGTTTAAAATGTAGTGTTAGAGTGTTCAGCAGAAGTTTGTGGTTACAGGAAAGTGGGTGCGGGAGGGAAGAGGAGCGATTGGTGGAATGATGATGTAAAGAGAGTAGTAAGGGAGAAAAAGTTAGCATATGAGAAGTTTTTACAAAGTAGAAGTGATGCAAGGAGGGAAGAGTATATGGAGAAAAAGAGAGAGGTTAAGAGAGTGGTGAAGCAAATGAGAGAGTGGGTGAGATGTTATCAACAAATTTTGTTGAAAATAAGAAAAGTTTTGGAGTGAGATTAACAAGTTAAGAAAGCCTAGAGAACAAATGGATTTGTCAGTTAAAAAATAGGAGAGGAGAGTTATTAAATGGAGAGTTAGAGGTATTGGGAAGATGGAGGGAATATTTTGAGGAATTGTTAAATGTTGATGAAGATAGGGAAGCTGTGATTTCGTGTATAGGACAAGGAGGAATAACATCTTGTAGGAGTGAGGAAGAGCCAGTTGTGAGTGTGGGGGAAGTTCGTGAGGCAGTAGGTAAAATGAAAGGGGGTAAGGCAGCCGGGATTGATGGGATAAAGATAGAAATGTTAAAAGCAGGTGGGGATATAGTTTTGGAGTGGTTGGTGCAATTATTTAATAAATGTATGGAAGAGGGTAAGGTACCTAGGGATTGGCAGAGAGCATGCATAGTTCCTTTGTATAAAGGCAAAGGGGATAAAAGAGAGTGCAAAAATTATAGGGGGATAAGTCTGCTGAGTATACCTGGTAAAGTGTATGGTAGAGTTATTATTGAAAGAATTAAGAGTAAGACGGAGAATAGGATAGCAGATGAACAAGGAGGCTTTAGGAAAGGTAGGGGGTGTGTGGACCAGGTGTTTACAGTGAAACATATAAGTGAACAGTATTTAGATAAGGCTAAAGAGGTCTTTGTGGCATTTATGGATTTGGAAAAGGCGTATGACAGGGTGGATAGGGGGGCAATGTGGCAGATGTTGCAGGTGTATGGTGTAGGAGGTAGGTTACTGAAAGCAGTGAAGAGTTTTTACGAGGATAGTGAGGCTCAAGTTAGAGTATGTAGGAAAGAGGGAAATTATTTCCCAGTAAAAGTAGGCCTTAGACAAGGATGTGTGATGTCACCGTGGTTGTTTAATATATTTATAGATGGGGTTGTAAGAGAAGTAAATGCGAGGGTCTTGGCAAGAGGCGTGGAGTTAAAAGATAAAGAATCACACACAAAGTGGGAGTTGTCACAGCTGCTCTTTGCTGATGACACTGTGCTCTTGGGAGATTCTGAAGAGAAGTTGCAGAGATTGGTGGATGAATTTGGTAGGGTGTGCAAAAGAAGAAAATTAAAGGTGAATACAGGAAAGAGTAAGGTTATGAGGATAACAAAAAGATTAGGCGATGAAAGATTGAATATCAGATTGGAGGGAGAGAGTATGGAGGAGGTAAATGTATTCAGATATTTGGGAGTGGACGTGTCAGCGGATGGGTCTATGAAAGATGAGGTGAATCATAGAATTGATGAGGGGAAAAGAGTGAGTGGTGCACTTAGGAGTCTGTGGAGACAAAGAACTTTGTCCTTGGAGGCAAAGAGGGGAATGTATGAGAGTATAGTTTTACCAACGCTCTTATATGGGTGTGAAGCATGGGTGATGAATGTTGCAGCGAGGAGAAGGCTGGAGGCAGTGGAGATGTCATGTCTGAGGGCAATGTGTGGTGTGAATATAATGCAGAGAATTCGTAGTTTGGAAGTTAGGAGGAGGTGCGGGCTTACCAAAACTCTTGTCCAGAGGGCTGAGGAAGGGTTGTTGAGGTGGTTCGGACATGTAGAGAGAATGGAGCGAAACAGAATGACTTCAAGAGTGTATCAGTCTGTAGTGGAAGGAAGGCGGGGTAGGGGTCGGCCAAGGAAAGGTTGGAGAGAGGGGGTAAAGGAGGTTTTGTGTGCGAGGGGCTTGGACTTCCAGCAGGCATGCGTGAGCGTGTTTGATAGGAGTGAATGGAGACAAATGGTTTTTTAATACTTGACGTGCTGTTGGAGTGTGAGCAAGTAACATTTAGGGAAGGGGTTCAGGGGAAAAACCGGCAGGCCGGACTTGAGTCCTGGAGATGGGAAGTACAGTGCCTGCACTCTGAAGGAGGGTGTTAATGTTGCAGTTTAAAAACTGTAGTGTAAAGCACCCTTCTGGCAAGACAGTCGATGGAGTGAATGATGGTTGAAAGTTTTTCTTTTTCGGGCACCATGCCTTGGTGGGAATCGGCCAGTGTGATAATAATAATAATAATATATATATATGTCGTGCCGAATAGGTAGAACTTGCGATCTTGGCTTAAATTAGCAACGCTCATCTTCCATATAAGACAAGTGAAAATTTGTGTATGCAATAATATCGTTTAAAATCATTTTAACCTAACGAAAAAAAATATATTTGTTGTGTTTGTTTAATATTAATTATTGTAAACAAATCTAAAAGTATATTTAGTTATGTTAGGCTAAATAAAATTGTTTGTTATAATAAGGTTAGGTAAGTTTTCTAAGCTCCTTTTGGTGCAAAATTATAAATTTTTACATCAAACATTAATGAAAAAATGTATCTTTTAAAGTATAAGAGAAAATTTTAGAAAGGGCTAATTTTAAATGAGTTCTTGCTAATTGACCAGCTTTACATATTCGGCACGACATATAATATATATATTATATATATATATACTATATATATATATATATATATATATATACTTTATATATATATATATATATATATATATATATATATATATTATTTATATTATATATATATTTATATTATATATATATATATATTAATCGTTCTGAATTTTGCATAAAAGGTTACAAATGTATTACTGATATTTGAAAGAGAGTCACTCTACTTTTGAAAGATGCGCTGGAGGATGGAGTCGAGGGAGGAGTGAAGAGCGCCTGGGTGACGGAAAAGGTACTCCAGATGTAACTCCACTTGGTACTGACAAGTCTGCTGCGCCTGGAGGCTTAGCAACTCAAGGAGTGCCTCTAGTCGGGGAATGTCTTGTGGCTTCCTCTTGATCTTCACTATCACTTCTTTAGGAGTCATTCTTGGTAGAAGGTTAGTGTAGCAGTCTACCCGGGAGTCTTCCACTTCTACTCTGCCATCTTCCATGAGGAAATTTGGAATTTGCTTTACCAGAATTTTGATCATATTTGGGTTACACTTGACGCTAGATAACATGTCCAGCCATTCGTCTCGGTTTCTTATACCAGACTCCCTCAGCAGTGTGACCAACTCGTTAGTTACATTCATTGGGACATTCTCTGCTCTTATGTGCAGGAGACCAGTGAGATGAATCAAGACATTCTGATACTTCTCAAGTTGCAAAGGATCGGTGTCAGTTTTGTGAATTTGTTTCAGACCTTTAACAATGCTGCTAGTTTTGAAGGGGGCAACGATTATTCTTACCATCTTCCCCAAAAATCCTGATTCCTCAAGTGTATTTGTGCACTTTTCAAGCAAGTACATTGCACCATAAAAATCCTGGAGGCCTTTATGGGGAATGATAAGCCTCATTTGAATTCCAGACATAGTCCATAGAGTTTTTTGACTTAAGTAAGCGCTCATCATTTCTTTTTGTGGCAAGCCAATTTTTGAACATACGTCTTTAAGGTTCTTCATCGACTCATCTGTCAGCACAATATTTTCGTTCTTGAGGCTAACTAAAGATTCTCGATACAAACTTGACAAAAATATGTGGATTTTGCTTCTGAGCTGCGAAGTTTCTAGCAGTTCTGTCAAAGAATGAGCCTTAAGTCTCTCCAATAACTTTTCAAGCATAAGTGTATGAATTTCTGAGTAGAGTTCAGTTGCTGTTGTCACTATATTTACCTTATCTCCACCGACAGCCCACAAGAAAGTCAGAAGCACCAGGTTCAGTGGGAGTCTCAGATGCTCTTGTAGTTGATTCTGTGTCTTTCTCATATATGTAATGAGTCCAGACGTCTCCTGAGTACTCATGCCAACTTTTTTCATTTCCTCGTGATACAGTTCAACAAAGCGTTCCCTCATGCTGTCTTGAATACCAATTATCTTAAGATAGGTTGTTGTAAGACCCGCTGGTACCATTTTGAAAAAATCATTGACTTTCTCTGGCCTTGTAGTGCAGAATATAGCAATATCATAGGAAGATTTAATGCTCAGTATTTCCTTGAGAAGCTTTGTCGATGATATATTAAGTTCGTCAAGACCATCCACGATGACAATAGTTTTAAACTGTAGAACACATTTAACTATATCATTCTCTCGGAATTTCCGCGCAGTTTTGGGCATTAAAGTCGACAACAACTGTGACAGAGACTGAACGACTGGATTTCTACATTCCATGTAGAGCAACAAATTGAAATTTGTAAGTTTGTCTATAGAACTACTGCCGGTAATCCAGTCAGACATGATCATTTTAGTAAGGGTAGTCTTTCCTGCCCCGGCTACTCCTTCCAACATGGTGATATTATTGCTTGTTGAATCAGCTACGTATTGTAATAAATCTTTGTTCTTAATTGCTTGACTTCTAACACAGCGTTTTTCTAGTACTATTTCCATTTGGGTGAACATTGTGTTCACTTGGGGATGAAATTCGGTTTCATCCAGAAATGACATTGGGTTGATGTGGGACCATTTGGTATAGTTCTCTTTGAGTTCTTGTAAACCAACTGACATCAAAAGCTCCAAACCTTCCTTAAACAACAATTCATTTTCGACACTTGTGATGTTCCACTGTTGAAAAGGTTCGTTCCTTAAGAGGCTGATGCTTTGGTCCATCTTGAAGACACATTGCTCTACAGTGCCGAGGTCGATGTTGTACTTCTCTCCAGCTGTTTCTAAAGCGGCTCTCAGTAGCTCTCTTAGCTCCTCAGTCTTGTTGATGAACTCAGCTTGAGTCAGTGGAACTTGTATGTGCACTTGATCATTGCGAAAATTTTTAATGGAAGTTATTGTAAATTCCAGGGTGCTGGCTGGAGTCCACCACGCAGAGTTGTTAGCGGGTGCCAGATGCTGACACACCATCTGGATACACTTATACAATAAAGATATGTCATAAGTAACACCGGAAGGGTCAGCTGTCAGCGTGTCCAGCATCGACTTGTTGAAGATCTGGTTTATTTGTTTTTTCCTGAGTTTACGCTCGTGTTGAAGGTACTCGTGCAAGGGCACGTTGATGGCCAACTCCTGGGTCCCCCATTCGTACACCTGGTGCAGCACGTCACGTGCTGTACGACGAATCATCTTCTGTAGCCGAAACCCGCATCGGTCCCCCTGATTGTAGGGGACAGAGAGCTGGAGCCTCACTAGTTTTTGAGAATCAGATGTTGTGACAGGCCGTTGATAATCCGATGGGCTGACAGTTGCCTGAGGATCTAGTATGTTGACAGTTGTTTGAGGATCTAGTATGTTGACAGTTGTTTGAGGATCTAGTATGTTGGCTGTTGTTTGATGATGTATTGTACCGACAGTTGTTAGACGATCTATTGTGCTGACGATAATTTGACAATCTGGTGTGCTGACAGTTGGTTGATGATCTCTTGCGTTGACAGTTGGTTGATGACGTAACACAGTGGCAGATGGTGGTGGTTCTGACACTGACAAAATGGTAGGTGGTGGTGGTTCTGACATTGACACAGTACCAGGTGGTGATGATCCTGATACTGACATGGTGCCAGGTGGTGGTGGTTCTGATACTGACACAGGGCCAGGTGGTGGTAGTTCTGACACTGACACAGTGCCAGCTGGTGGTAGTTGTGGCACCAACACAGTGCCAGGGGGTGGTGGTTCTGACATTAACAGAGTGCCAGGTGGTGGTGATTCTGACACTAACACAGTGCCAGGTAGTGGTGGTTCTGACACTAACACAGTGCCAGGTGGTGGTGGTTCTGACACTGTCACAGTGCCAGGTGGTGGTGGTTCTGACTCTAACACAGTGCCAGGTGGTGGTGGTTCTGACACTGTCACAGTGCCAGGTACTGGTGGTTCTGACACTAACACAGTGCCAGGTAGTTGTGGTTCTGACACTAAAACAGTGCCAGGTGGTGGTGATTCTGACACTAACACAGTGCCAGATAGAGGTGGTTCTGACACTAACACAGTGCCAGGTAGTGGTGGTTCTGACACTAACACAGTGCCAAGTAGTGGTGGTTCTGACACGAACACAGTGCCAGGTAGTGGTGGTTCTGACACTAACACAGTGCCAGGTAGTGGTGGTTCTGACACTAACACAGTGCCAGTTACTGGTGGTTCTGACACTAACACAGTGCCAGGTGGTGGTGGTTCTGACACTAATACAGTGCCAGGTGGTGGTGGTTCTGACTCTAACACAGGGCCAGGTGGTGGTGGTTCTGACACTAACACAGTGCCAGGTGGTGCTGGTTCTGACACTGTCACAGTGCCAGGTACTGGTGGTTCTGACACTAACACAGTGCCAGGTAGTTGTGGTTCTGACACTAAAACAGTGCCAGGTACTGGTGGTTCTGACACTGTCACAGTGCCAGGTGGTGATGATTCTGACACTAACACAGTGCCAGATAGAGGTGGTTCTGACACTAGCACAGTACCAGGTAGTGGTGGTTCTGACACTAACACAGTGCCAGATAGTGGTGGTTCTGACACGAACACAGTGCCAGGTAGTGGTGGTTCTAACACTAACACAGTGCCAGGTAGTGGTGGTTCTGACACTAACACAGTGCCAGGTAGTGGTGGTTATGACACGAACACAGTGCCAGGTAGTGGTGGTTCTGACACTAACACAGTGCCAGGTAATGGTGGTTCTGACACTAACACAGTGCCAGATAGTGGTGGTTGTAACACTAACACAGTGCCAGGTAGTGGTGGTTCTGACACTAACACAGTGCCAGGTAGTGGTGGTTCTGACACGAACAAAGTGCCAGGTAGTGGTGGTTCTGACACTAACACAGTGCCAAGCAGTGGTGGTTCTGACACTAACACAGTGCCAGGTGGTGGTGGTTCTGACACTAGCACAGTGCCAGGTGGTGGTGGTTCTGACAATAGCACAGTGCCAGGTGGTGGTGGTTCTGACACTAGCACAGTGCCAGGTGGTGGTGGTTCTGACACTAGCACAGTGCCAGGTGGTGGTGGTTCTGACACTAGCACAGTGCCAGGTGGTGGTGGTTCTGACACTAACACAGTGCCAGGTGGTGGTGGTTCTGACACTAACACAGTGCCAGGTGGTGGTGGTTCTGACACTAGCACAGTGCAATTCTGAAATATAAAGCATAGATAAATGGTTAAAACTCCAGTGTGAAACAATGTGTGTGTGTGTACTCATCTGTTTGTGGTTGCAGGGGTCGAGTTATAGCTCCTGGCCCCGCCTCTTCACTGATGGCTACTAGGTCCTCTCTCTCCCTGCTCCATGAGCTTTATCAAACCTCGATTTAAAACTATGTATGGTTCCTGCCTCCACTACGTCATTTTCTAGACTATTCCACTTCCTGACAACTCTATAACTGAAGAAATACTTCCTAATATCCCTTTGACTCAACTGAATCTTCAACTTCCAATTGTGACCTCTTGTTTCTGTGTCCCATCTCTGGAACATCCTGTCTTTGTCCACCTTTGTCTATTCCGCGCAGTATTTTATATGTCGTTATCATGTCTCCCCAGACCCTCCTGTCCTCCAGTGTCGTCAGGCCAATTTCCCTTAACCTTTCTTCGTAGGACAATCCCCTTATCTCTGGGACTAGTCTTGTTGCAAACCTTTGCACTTTCTCTAATTTCTTGACGTGCTTGACCCGGTGTGGATTCCAAACTGGTGCTGCTTACTACAGTATGGGCATGACGTAAATGGTGTACAGAATCTTGAACGATTCCTTACTGAGGTATCAGAACGCTACCCTTAGGTTTGCCAGACACCCCTATGCTGCAGCATTATCTGATTGATGTGCGCCTCAGGAGATGTGCTCGGTATTATACTCACCCCAAGATCTGTAGTAAGGGAGAAAAAGTTAGCATATGAGAAGTTTTTACAAAGTAGAAGTGATGCAAGGAGGGAAGAGTATATGGAGAAAAAGAGAGAAGTTAAGAGAGTGGTGAAGCAATGTAAAAAGAGAGCAAATGAGAGAGTGGGTGAGATGCTATCAACAAATTTTGTTGAAAATAAGAAAAAGTTTTGGAGTGAGATTAACAAGTTAAGAAAGCCTAGAGAACAAATGGATTTGTCAGTTAAAAATAGGAGAGGGAGTTATTAAATGGAGAGTTAGAGGTATTGGGAAGATGGAAGGAATATTTTGAGGAATTGTTAAATGTTGATGAAGATAGGGAAGCTGTGATTTCGTGTATAGGGCAAGGAGGAATAACATCTTGTAGGAGTGGAGGAAGAGTCAGTTGTGAGTGTGGGGGAAGTTCGTGAGGGCAGTAGGTAAAATGAAAAGGGGGTAAGGCAGCCGGGATTGATGGGATAAAGATAGAAATGTTAAAAGCAGGTGGGGATATAGTTTTGGAGTGGTTGGTGCAATTATTTAATAAATGTATGGAAGAGGGTAAGGTACCTAGGGATTGGCAGAGAGCATGCATAGTTCCTTTGTATAAAGGCAAAGGGGATAAAAGAGAGTGCAAAAATTATAGGGGGATAAGTCTGTTGAGTTGTACCTGGTAAAGTGTATGGTAGAGTTATAATTGAAAGAATTAAGAGTAAGACGGAGAATAGGATAGCAGATGAACAAGAGGCTTTAGGAAAGGTAGGGGGTGTGTGGACCAGGTGTTTACAGTGAAACATATAAGTGAACAGTATTTAGATAAGGCTAAAGAGGTCTTTGTGGCATTTATGGATTTGGAAAAGGCGTATGACAGGGTGGATAGGGGGGCAATGTGGCAGATGTTGCAAGTGTATGGTGTAGGAGGTAGGTTACTGAAAGCAGTAAAGAGTTTTTACGAGGATAGTGAGGCTCAGTTAGAGTTTTGTAGGAAAGAGGGGAATTTTTTCCCCGTAAAAGTAGGCCTTAGACAAGGATTGTGTGATGTCACCGTGGTTGTTTAATATATTTATAGATGGGGTTGTAAGAGAAGTAAATGCGAGGGTCTTGGCAAGAGGCGTGGAGTTAAAAGATAAAGAATCACACACAAAGTGGGAGTTGTCACAGCTGCTCTTTGCTGATGACACTGTGCTCTTGGGAGATTCTGAAGAGAAGTTGCAGAGATTGGTGGATGAATTTGGTAGGGTGTGCAAAAGAAGAAAATTAAAGGTGAATACAGGAAAGAGTAAGGTTATGAGGATAACAAAAAGATTAGGTGATGAAAGATTGAATATCAGATTGGAGGGAGAGAGTATGGAGGAGGTGAAACGTATTCAGATATTTGGGAGTGGACGTGTCAGCGGATGGGTCTATGAAAGATGAGGTGAATCATAGAATTGATGAGGGAAAAAGAGTGAGTGGTGCACTTAGGAGTCTGTGGAGACAAAGAACTTTGTCCTTGGAGGCAAAGAGGGGAATGTATGAGAGTATAGTTTTACCAACGCTTTATATGGGTGTGAAGCGTGGGTGATGAATGTTGCAGCGAGGAGAAGGCTGGAGGCAGTGGAGATGTCATGTCTGAGGGCAATGTGTGGTGTGAATATAATGCAGAGAATTCGTAGTTTGGAAGTTAGGAGGAGGTGCGGGATTACCAAAACTGTTGTCCAGAGGGCTGAGGAAGGGTTGTTGAGGTGGTTCGGACATGTAGAGAGAATGGAGCGAAACAGAATGACTTCAAGAGTGTATCAGTCTGTAGTGGAAGGAAGGCGGGGTAGGGGTCGGCCTAGGAAGGGTTGGAGGGAGGGGGTAAAGGAGGTTTTGTGTGCGAGGGGCTTGGACTTCCAGCAGGCATGCGTGAGCGTGTTTGATAGGAGTGAATGGAGACAAATGGTTTTTAATACTTGACGTGCTGTTGGAGTGTGAGCAAAGTAACATTTATGAAGGGATTCAGGGAAACCGGCAGGCCGGACTTGAGTCCTGGAGATGGGAAGTACAGTGCCTGCACTCTGAAGGAGGGGTGTTAATGTTGCAGTTTAAAAACTGTAGTGTAAAGCACCCTTCTGGCAAGACAGTGATGGAGTGAATGATGGTGAAAGTTTTTCTTTTTCGGGCCCCCCTGCCTTGGTGGGAATCGGCCGGTGTGGATAATAAAAAAAAAAAAAAAAAAAAAAGATCGTTTCTTGAGTGGGTTTTGCAGTTTTGGCCCCTAATTTTATTCTGTCTGCGGTCTTCTTTGCTTTCCCCCGATCTTCTGCTTTGCTTTTGGCAAGTTAATTCCAGTAGCCATTTTGCTGGCCGGCTTGTATCCGTCCGGGTCTCTTTTAATTTCCCTGATCTTCGCCGATTGATTTCTCTTTAAATTTCTTATATCTGAAAATGCTGGTCTATCCGCTGTTATGTCATTCACTAAACCCCAAAGCAGACGGCCCTAGGACTGCCCCCTGTCGAACCCCCGTTGCACGGGGGGTGCCCACTCTGACACCTCGTCACTACATGATCTTGTTGCCCCCCTGTAGGTATTCTCTGTCCATTGCAGTGCTTTTCCGTTATGTGTGCCTGATCCTGTCAGGTTTTTTGCCCATTGCAGTGCTTTTCCCCGGTTATGGGTGCCTGATCCCGAGGTATTCTCTGATCCATTGCAGTGCTTTCCTGTTATGTGTCCCTACCCTCAGTTTTGCAGTAACCTTTTGTGAGGAACTGGTCGGGCCTTTTTTGCGCCCAAAGAAAATGCAGTTATCCACCTCTTTTGTCTTACTTTGGCATGTTTTCAAAAAACCCCAATAGGTTTGTGACACATTTTTTTC